GAGAAAGAGCTCACCCCTTCAAGGGATTGCTATTAACTGGTGTTCTTGAGGCCTGTCTTAGAATGTACGCTAAACAGATTCACAGTAAAGCACATTGACAACTGAGTCTCTACTTAGACAGTCAGCCTGTGATACCTTTTGAAGTAAGAAAGATTTGTCTTCAGTGGCTTCCTTTTCTATAACCTTTCCCTCATATCAAGACCCTTCTAAAAATTGCATCCACTACTGAAGTGGAGATGTGGCAAGTGGAATCAAATCTACTTGCTGGTTTTTATCACTTAAATGATTCCAGGTATTTTTGGATTCAGGCTGCTCGATATCAGAATTCCACTGGATCCAATTCCAAATGGTAAAGACACATTACCAGAGGATCCTAAAGCAGCCAGTAGTATTCAGAATGGTTGGCTATGACCCCACATGTGTGAGAGGGTATAGGTCCCATTCAGGCCATCTCTCTGCAATCCCTCAAACCCCCAACCCCCAGTTCTCTCCTAAGCCAAGGTATTTTCCTCAGGTGCAGCAGTAGGTGGCATTAAAACACAACTTACTAATAACAGGTGGTGCCAAGGGAGCTAGAGTAGATAATTTTCACCCTTCCTAGCAAAATGTCACTGAACTCAGGAGACATCACAGCCCTGCATTAGGCAACAAGAAGATATCTCCCTTTTCCACTACCATTAGGAACAATCAGCTGTAGGATATCAAGGGAGAAAATAAACACTTCAGCATGAATATTGCCATTTTGGCAGGGTAGGGGTTCAGGATGGTAGGCATAGTGTTGGAAAAATAAAACCCTGAGATTCTATGCCTGTTCCCTTATAGAAACAGACTAGGAGTGAGCATAGATCATTTCAGAGTTCTTAATCTAGTTGGGTTTGAACGAGAGAGAGAGAGAGAGAGAGAGAGAGAGGATAAAGATGAAACTGAACTCTATTCCATTTCAAAAGCATCAGATGGGCAGAATTTTAGAGCTCGAAAGAACCTTGTGAGTCTATCCTGCTCATCTGTGGACACCTAGACTCACAGTATATTGGGGGTATTAAAGACATACAGATGGCCAATAGGTACATGAAAAAATGTTTAACATCACTAATCACCAGGCAAATACAAACTAAGACCACCATGAGATACCATGTCACACTTGTCAGAATGGCTATTATCCAAAAGATAAGCAGTAACAAGTATTGGTGAAGATGTGGAGAAAGGGAAACCCTCATACACTGCTGGTGAGAATGTAAATTGGTACAGCCAGTATAGGAAACAGTATGGAGTTTCCTTTAAAAAATTAAAAATAAAACTACAATATGATCCAGCAACCCCACTTCTGGGTACATCGCTGGAGGAAATAAAATCACTATCTTGAAGTGATATCTGTATCCCCATGCAGCAGTATTCACAATAGTCAAAATATGAAAGCAACCTAAGTGTCCATTGATAGACAGTTGGATAAAGAAAATGTGATATTATGTATATGCACATATATATGTATATATACACACAGTGAAATATTATTCAGCCATGAGAAAGAAGGAGATCCTGCCTTTTGCAATAACACAGATGAAACTGTAGGGCATTATGCTAAGTAGAATAAGTCAGACAGAGAAAGACAAATACTGTATGATTTCGCTTATATGTGGAATCTAAAAAAGTCAAACTCATAGAAACAAAGAGTAGAATAGTGGTTGCCATGGTTGAGGATTGGGGAAAATGGGAAGATGTTGGTAAAAGAGTACAAATTTCCATTTAGAAGATGAATAAGTTCTGAGGATCTAATGCACAGTGTGGTCAATATAGTTAACAAAGTTGTATTACATACTGGAAAGTACTATGAGAGTAAGTCTTAAACGTTCTCACAACACACACACAAAAATGATAACATGTGAAGTGATGGATGTGTTAACTAGCCTTATGGTAATCATTTTGTAATATATATGTATATCATATCATCATATTGTACACCTTAAACATACACAACGTTATACAGACATGCATCACTTAACAATGGGGATATGTTCTGAGAAATATGTCATTAGGCAATTTCATCATTGTGCGAACATCATGGAGTGTACTTACACGAACCTGGATGGTATAGCCTATATGGTAGAGCCTATTGTTCCTAGACTACAAACTGTACAGCATTTTACCTTACTGAATACTGTAGGCACCTGTAACACAATGGTATTTGTGTATCTAAACATATCTAAACACAAAAATGGTACAGTAAAATATGGTATAAAAGATAAAAAAAATGGTACACCTATAGAGGGTACTTACCATGAATGAAGCTTGCAGGACTGGAAGCTGCTCTGGGTGAGTCAGTGAGTGAGTGATGAGTGAATGTGAAGGCCTAGGATATGACTGTACATTACTGTAGACTTTATAAACACTGTCCTACAAGCCTTCCCCCTGCTTCCTTCTGACAGGGTCAGAAAGGCAACATTGAAGTTGTCAATGCTTCTCCATGAACTCTGTGGGCTGGATGAACATGAACATGAAGTTTCATGTGGGCTGGATTGATAGACAATATTCAGGAGAAACTGGTTGGGTAAGGTGTAGATCACCACAATACTGACTGGCAGGGAGTGAAAGGTGGCCTGAGGATCAGTAGGAATAAGAAATCAAGATGGAGAGATAAAGAAACATAGTGATGTCATGGCAGTGTGGTATTGACTAGTGCATGTTGCAACAGTGGTCAGATTAAGAAATTTAAAAAAGAGGGAGGTGTTTAACATGGAGAAGGTGTAGAACTGGGGTCTCGATAGTTAGACTTTGGAAATTTGTTTTTGGTTCCATTAACCTTGTCTGGCACAAAGGGTTCTTTCTGGCATTAAACTGAAGAAATAAAACTTACCTATGCTTTACATAATTTCATCCTGAACATATTTTTAAAGTAGAGGGACAGGCTGGCTCCACACTATCACAGAAAGCTTTTACTGAAGTGGCAGTGGCACTTAATACTTGTTACGGCAGTTCCTGTGGACCCGTGTCCTTATACAGAATCTTAGGTCCTCGGGAAAGAATTTACAGCAATGTACTCTGAAATCCATCAAGCTAGATCTGGAAGGACTATAGCACCCTCTGAATATGTAGAGCTGGAGGGGACAGGCTCCTCTGTGTCAATGGCTGACTGATGGGGATGTTATCTGTGTGCTCAAAACTGATGTGCTGTGAGTGAGAGGGAATCTACTGCCAAGCCCCACAGATATTATTCCTATCAGAGAAAAATACATTCAACCTGAACCACATATCCTCTCATTTCTTATAAGAAATTTAGCTCCATTATTACCCTATGGTACCACATTGTATATGTGGTTCATTGTGACCAAAACTTCTTATATGGCACATAACTGTATGCCAATTACATATCAATAAAACTGGAAAAAAAGACCATCTATCCCAACCCTCCAAATTTTTGAATGAAGAAACCGAGGCTCCAAAAGAGAAAGTTACTCAAGGTCACATGATTATAAACAACAGAACCAGAACTAGAGTCCCTGGACTTTTAATTCCTAATATATTTTTTCACTATACTCCTCTCCTTTCTCCCTCACCTAAGCACCTCAGATCTTAACCATTCTAGTAGATAATTTTATATCCTGATTTTTCAAACTCTCCAATGGAAGAAATTCTACAAATTCACCTAGGAGAATGCATTTCATTGCCATTTATGTTTAGGAAGTTCTTCCATATATATATAACTCAAAAGTCTCCCACTGCAACATAAACTCATTCCTCTTTGATGTGTTCTTAGTGGAAATGGATCACAGATGTTTACTACCACCAATAATAATTATGAAAATTGGACATTATGTGCGTACATATGTGTGTATGGACAGGCATACCTCAGAGATATTGTGGGTTCAGTTTCAGACCACCACAATAAAGTGAATATTTCAATAAAGGGAGTGGTAATCTTTTTGCTGGTGGAAGATTCTGCCTCCAAATTGTAAAAAATGCAACATATGTGAAGTGTAACAAAGTGAAGCACAGTAAAACAAGTTATGGTTGTAGACATACCCACGCATGCACACATATACACATGTAACCTATAATTAATCTTCTTTTCTATAGGCTAAATGACTCCTCAGTAGCAAACTAAGTCTGAGAAATAGCACTTATGAAGGAAGATAAGACTCAGGTCTTTCTATTCTGTGACTTCTATGCTACAGCGAAACTTTGAGCAATAGATAGACCTGTGGGGGTGATCAAGCATCTTATGAATTAAACATCCAAATTCACTGATACTCAACTATATAGAATCTTGGCCAGAAGTCCTTGCTAATATTCCACTTCTAGAAATGATAGGCAAATCATAAGAAAATAAGCTAAGGTTAGATATTTACTTTGACATGAAAAACAGAGCAGGGCCCAGATTGATCCCATATTCTATACCTTTGCCATTTCTAGTTTAGAGTAATATATATTGCTGATCTAAATGGTAACATGATGGTCAAAAATATTTAGCAATGGACTCTACTTCAGAGTGTCTCACAGTGAAGTGCAGTTATTCATGTATCCTTGATAAAAAAGTAGCCACTCTCTCTGAAAAAGTTGTCCTTGTCAACGGAGTCCTCAGTTTTGGGAAGGAGATGATTGCTGTGGAGAAGGAGATAAGGCCCTCCTGCTTAGAGAACTGGATCAGTTCAATCCATCCTGGAGATTAGTGGGTGACATGTAGCCTCCTAAGCTCATATCTCCTGAGCTCTCCTTACTAAGTCAAGAAAATGGATTCAGAGATTTAAAAATATTTTTTAACAGGTAACCAGAAATTCTTATTAAAGTAGAACACCTTTTTCTAGATTACCAGGACTCAATGGCTGAAGACTCCAAACTGATTTGCCTTGGAAAGAAATATTTAATCTAACAACTGGGAAAGCTAATGTAAAATAATTGAGGCAGACGGGCTGTTTCATTGAGTTTCCAATGGGCTCCATGCCAACGTGACCCCTCCCAAAACCACCCTTGTAAAGGTAACCACCGTGTAAAGCAAAGCTGCTCACGGCAATAAGCTGATACGAGTTGTTCATCATGGCGATCAGCATGTTCAGCAACACTACCAGAGAGATGACGTTGTACGTTCCAAACATGGTAGCTCCCACAAACTCTGTGAACTCGTGTCTGGCTTTCACATTGGTGACGTAGAGATTTAAAAGGCCGAATACAGACCAGAAGAGTGACTGAAGGGTTTCAAAGAGCCTAAAAAGAAGAAAGAGCAGGTGAGTTAATTTTCTAGGAAGAGCAAGAAGAGATAGAAAACGTTAGGTAATCTGGGGGCCTGGTAAGGGGCATGCCATATTTGCATCCAAACAAGTAGATTGAAGATTTCACATGGTTTGGTATCTTCCCCAACCCAAACGAGCCAAGTAAGTTTGTTTATTTGTTCCCATTTCTATGTCTTATGCTTTGCCTTTCTACCTGTAATACCATCTCTCTCTTCTCAGTCTACACAGAACCTATAATGTTCCAAGATTTATTTCAAGGCGTACTTCTTCAACCAAACTTTCTCTCTCATCTTATACCATGCGATTTTCCACCTATCTAATTACATAGAGGGAGAAATGCAGTGGTGCTTGCGTTAAGAATACGGTGCTTAAGTTAGATTGCTCTGGGTTAAAATGTCAGCTCTGACACTCGTTAGCTGAGTGGAACATGAGCAACTTACCATTTCTGATACTTCTTTTGTGGTTCCCACAGGGCCCAGAATAGTGCTCAGTTTAGTGGAGGAGCTTAAGGATTCTTGAGCTAACACTTTATATGAATTATTTTAAATGTTATATTAACTAATAATTATTGAGTACTATAAAAGCATACTAGGTGCTTTTACATACATTATCATTGTGATCTTTATGAAAACTTTATTGTTACTGCTGAGGAAACAGAGGTTCAGAAATTGACTATGGTCTCTCAGCTATAAGTGCTCATTAACTATTTGACTTTGGGAAAGTTACATAGCCTCTTTAATCTTCAAGTTTCTTGATAGTTATTGATAGGATCACTACCAATTGTTGACATTTATTGTTCTCTTACTATGTGCCAGGCACTGTGCTGTTTTGCATGTATTATATTATTTGATTTTCAGAATAACCCGAAGAAGTAGCTACTATTTTTCTTCTATTTTTTTTTTTTTTTTCAGATGAAAAACTTAGGTACAGAGCAGTCACACAGGCAGGAAATGGCAGAGGTAGGATTTGCACCCAGCTCTTCTAACTCCAGAACCCACATACTTAACCACCTTACTCTATCACATAAGACACAGCATGTAATGTGTGCTGGCTGGAAAATTACTGCTTGGCTATCGCCCATGGGAACATAACATTCTAACAATAAGCTTTCTGTTTCTGTACCCCCGCTTGCACAACCGACCTGTGGGTTGACAGGTAGTGAATAAAAGAAAAATAGACCTTTGTGTTTAAGACAGAATGAGGAATGGGATTTAGGGCTTAAAAACCTTGTATCTTGGCATTTTGGGGCTGCTCATTTGTACAGGACAGATTTTGGGGCTGCTTAATTTGGGGTCCACGTACCCCTGGCAGACCCAGCTGGCTGAATAAAGAGCATGTTTCCTATAACTCAACTCACTGATGTGGGCCGTGTGTCTTTCAGGTGCTGGCAGTTACAACATTTGGAGGCCTCAGTGAGATCTCAGGGAGTGGCCCTGGGATCTAAGACCGGACCGACCTCCGAAGCGGTTGCTGTCCCTGTTACGGATTGAAAGGGGTGGCCAACCTGAGATGTTCCAGGGCCCTTGAATGCTATGACAGGTCAGCACAATCGTCAAGGACGCAACCTTTTAGGGCAAGCTCTTTGTTCCTGGTCCTGACGGGAATCTGGAATCTCCGAGGCCTCGGTGTCTGGATAAAAGGTACCTTCCTGTTTCTGTTGACTGGTCAGTGAGGGTCCGTGGAGAGAATGGACGCAGTCTTATCTCCCGGACCATGGCCAGGCTGCGGGATGCTGCCTCCTGTGCCCTGTTGTCGGGTTCTGTTTATTGTCTCTGGTCTTGTCTAGGTTGTAGGTGGCGGACTTCTCTGGGTCCACCTACGCCCCAGTAATTGTTCTTGTCTGAGTGTCTTATTGTTCTTGTCTGAGTGTCTGTTTTCTATTTTCTGTGCAAGCAATGTGGGGAAGCCCGAGTTCACAGAAGACACCTTTGGGTTGTCTCCTGTGACATTTCAAAGAAGGGTTTGTAGAAGGAGCTGACTATGGCATGAAATTTTCTCCGGGCAGACTAAAAACATTGTGTAAAGTCGAGTGACTGTCTTTTGATGTAAACTAGTCTCCGGAGGGTTCTTTTGACAGGGGTTTAGTGAGGAATGTTTGGAAGATTGTCACGGGAGACCCAGGACATCCCGATCAGTTTCCCCACATCAATCAACCTTGTTCAGACACCCCCTCCTTGGCTCCACCGGTGTGCCCTTTCTCTAGGGGCGTAAGTCTTAGTTGTGGGCCCCCCGAAACATGCAGCAACTGAATCTCCAAGACAGCCCAGTCCCTCAGTCCTCCACTCTCCACT